GTGTGTGTGTGTGTGTGTGTGTGTGTGTGTGTGTGTGTGTGTGTGTGAGAGAGAGCCAGGTCTAACATACCGGAAATCTACAACCTCATAAATCAGAGGCAAATGTGCAAACTACTCAGTGACTACAAAGTGTTAAGACCCATGGTCCAATATTTTTAAGCACCTGGAAATTGAGGAGCATATAAATATACAGTATTTCAGAATTGCAAAAAAAAAAAGTTAAATGTCAATGTTTAGTGCGGTGTTTCCCAACTTTTGAGTCAAGGCACATATCCTACTTTCGAAACATTGCATTTTTTTTTCTTTTCTTTTCGTTTTTTTGCTGCAAACAAAGGCAATTTGTTTGACGATTACATTTGAGGATTTAGATATTTAGAAATTATAATAAAATATGGTTCAAAACATTTTCCATTCCTCTCCATTTTGTGTGCAATAAGCTTGCTGGTAAAATGAAGTTTGGCTGTTTTTTTTTTGTTTTTTTTTGTGTGTGTGTGTGTGTCCAGTGTTGCCACCGGGCATTCAATTATCTGGCTACTTATGCTTTACTGTCATTGTGTTTTAACTCAACTAGAATTTGACAGTGTGGTTTAGTCCTCTGGCCACTACAGAGAGTGGTCGTACATATGTGATAGGATGTAAAAATTTTTTTTAAAAAAACGGTTCGCGTCACGCTCCGGACAAAAATGTAAAATGGCAAGTAGTTGTTGGAGAGATGGTAGTCTGTTTCCTGACTACTGTCGAGGTGCCCTTGAGCAAGGCACTGGCCTCTCGTCCAAACTCAAGCTGCACGGCACGATTTGCATGCCCCTCTCGCTCTGACATCTCTCCTTGCATGCTTGCACATGTTTCGTCCGGTTCTATGTGCGGTGTGCCACACAAATAAACAGCAGCGCGTGAGTTGAATTTCCCCTTGCGGGATTAGAATTACGCTCTTTGCGGAGTAGTTCTGCTAAATTAGTTCATTTTAAGAGCAATTTTGTAATTCAGAGGAGCAATCTTTTTCTGGTTAATCCAGGTACCTGATGCAAGGGTTTTTTATTAAGCAATAAAAACATGACAATATAACAATAAAACAGTTGGTTTCCTTTTTTCATTATAATCGTTTTTTTTTTGTAAACACATATTGCGAATCACATCAAACTGTATTTTCTTGTCTCAAATATGTACATAGGGACACTTTCAATTTGTGATGGGGGCCCGAGAGACAGCTAATATTGGCCTTTAGAGAACTGGACGTTATGTGACTTATTTGTTTACGCCACCATGCTGGTAAAATAATCGCAAATGATTTACAATGGAGAGAAAGGGGTAAAATTAGCATGATCAGTGATTATGCGGCATTGAGGGATTAAATAAATCAATCTGACCATTACAAGGCTTTTGTTTACGGTATCACTGCTCGGCTTAATCCTTCCGGTGCTTGCTGGAAAAGCGTGGCTAACTGGAGGACACTAGGGCAACAACAGCCGACCTCGAACCAGCTTGCCTGTGCTCATCTGCCTCGGTATGCCTTTGGTAAAATGTCTCCCTGAGCAAACCAGCCTTGTCCTGGCTAAATTGTCGATGTCCGCCAATTAAAAAATATATATACAAAATGTCTTCACTTTAACACTTACTCAGAATATACTGTATAAACTATTTCCTACTGGCAAGGATTGAGCAATGCATGTGGCCTTCCATCCGCTTACGAACCGTCCACCTGAATACCAGGAGAGCCTGGTTGGTGGTTTCACCGAGATAGACGACTCTTACCACTCACAGGGTCACTGGAGTTGGGGGGGATATCGAATGTAAATGTCCCATGTCTAACTACTTTACAAACTCTGTTGCTTGAAAAGCTCTGAGGGTTATCAATACCTACACGGTCACAAAGTTGGTCGCGTTTTGTAAAGAGAGGTTGGACGCAGTCTTATTGATCTTAAAGCAGATAGAGGACCCAGCCAAACCTACAACTTCCCACTGCTGAATGTAAACAAGATTCATCACTCAATCTCATAAAACTATCATCAATCTTCAAAGTTTATGTGAACATCTCTCTCTACTTTCGTCAACTCCAAGCGCTGTAAATATGAGAACGATCGGCCCAATATTTTAAATTTTATGAGCATAACGTCTTCCTCTCCATAGGCGTTCACTACAGCTTACTGAGAAAAATGCCTACCGTCCTTAAAATCCAAACTATTGCGACGATCCTTTGAATTATTTCAGAGGTTGATTAACGCAAATGTGTCATGTCTACCACACACAAAAACCATACCTGATGTTCTCGTGACACTCGGCACCCAACGAATCTTCTCCGGTGGTTTGTCCACAAAGTGAAAAGGAGCGCATTTACAACATGAGGTGGTGGACTCTCAGACTAATTCTTCTGTGATCAAAAGTCACACTACTCTCTCTTCATCCGGTGTGCCACTTCAAAACATTACTCTTGTCGTCCAACATTCAACTTATTCTGATCGTGACCAAGTGTTGGGAATCCCCTGCATAAAGACCCTGCTAGCTGTTGATGGCTGGCGGCTAGAAGGGGCCAGCGAGAGATAGCTGAAATTGGTCAATTTCAATCGCACACAGCGATAACCTCCATAATGGTGCAGGGATGTTTACTTAGCAGGCTCTTCTGTCAATAGTTTAATAAACCATATTTGCTTTTCCATTGTGCTTTCTTTTTGTTTTTTGGTTAAGGTGGGGTAAGAGAAGGTCTACGGTCGGTCTTGCTTGGAGCTTCCAGGGATTCAGTAAACGCCCCTCATGTGCCATGTGTGTGTGTGCGCTCTCGTTTGACGTGCCAGGCGCAGACGCGTGACATCTTCGACTTTAAAATGACGTCACGGAGGCGCGAGCCTCAGCAGGCAGCTCGTTTGTCAGCGGTAGAGAAGAAGCCGAGCGGCGGCAGGAGACGGAGCTGTCTTTCTTTCTGACTCTCTCTCTCTTTCTCTCTCTCTCTTTCTCTCCTCTCTCGCTCCATTTCTCCACCGACACGCTCGCATCCTCTTTCTCGCTCCAACTCCACGGAAACAACCGCAACCACCTCCTTCGCCACCCCTCCTTATTCTTATTTTGGTTATTTTTCTTTGCTTTTTTTTTTCTTCCTCTATCTCTCAACCAGAGATGTTACCCCAACCAGAGATGTTACCTCCTTCTTAGAGATGCTGGAGCCCCTAACTCGCGACGACTTCTCTCCAGCTGTTTGTCAACATTTCTGGACGTATATCAGCCTGACAACGATGTAGGAAAGAGAGAGAGAGAGAGAGCAGGCGAAGATGCCGACTATATCTCTTGTTTTTTTGTTCTCTCTTAGTCTTCTTCGCCTTGAGCGGGGGTGAAGAAATGAATGCAAAGTTTGAGGGTTCGTTTTTTGGCTTCCGATTCACCTGCCCACCTACACACGCCCATTAGCTCCCCCCCAAATGCCCCCCATCCCGTCTACTCTGAAGATCGCTACACACGCCCATTAGCTCCCCCCCAAATGCCCCCAAAGCCCCCCATCCCGTCTACTCTGAAGATCATTACCAAGTAGAATAAGTTAGAGGTTGTTTTCTGGCATCGCTGGAGGAATTATATGTGCGCCAGCTCAGTGGATATGGCTTAAATGATGTTGGCGTCACCGTTAGATGGAGAAAAGTCCGTCACTTGAGTGTCGTTAGCCGCTCTCGATTTTGGTTGAACGCTAATCTAAATGGGAAGATACCCGATGGACTAATTCGGCATTTGAGAAGGAGAACATGTGGATAAAACGGAGTGTCGCACGCAGGTAAGACTCGATTAAAAATATATATAAACACATATATATGTAAAACACAGTATATGTCTCTCTTGAATGTTTGACTGGATTTGAAAATGTGCGTTTCACTCTTCTGATCGATAACCCTTGATTTTTCAACTACGTCGTTCCAATTGAGGATAGAATGATTTATGGCAGCTCTCTATTAATACTTAAGTATTGTCTGCTCGAGTCTTTGGAATAAATATTCTCTTTCTATGTTCAAATCATATGTATGTCTTTTTCATGTGTTTTAAATTATTAGTATTATTATTATGTGTCTCGTTTGAGCTAACAATACATCATCCGAACGCTGGGGGTCGCCAATGTAACGGCATAAGCAGCGCTTTTGACACGAGGTTGGGTCCGCTCCCCACCTGTGAGAGCACACGCACTCCCACATACGCACAATTATCTGGCTAATTACCGGGTGAAAACAACAACACCATTAATGGATGCCTTCTTTGTTGTCTAGTAAGCGCAAAGATAGGAGGGAGGCAAATGAAGACCAGACCACCTACTTTGACTTAATGAAGTGTTATGTTTTTGGTAACAGGTTTAGTGTGATACATGAGACCTACCAGCAATTCGATATTTACTCTCAGATCGAATGGCAGGTCACTTGTATGCATGCATGACAATACTGAACATCTCACAGCTAACCTCGCGGGGAAATGATGTTCTCTGGAGACACACATGCGATGCTTATTTAATAGGTAACGTGCAAGTACTTCACGACCATGGGTTTGGACAGATGAATCAGAGGTGCAGTTTACCAGTTTCCAGTTAATCCGACTGAACACAAAAACTGAAGCAAACAAACTACGAGCTCCTTGTTCAGACAAAAAAATGAAGTTGTGGGTGTTTCAGCAGCACTGTCATTAATAAATATGGAAATGAGAATGAATGTTTAAATGACAAAATGAATAGATAACATATGGAGCATTGTCAATAGAGTTTTATGTGCATGATCACCTCCGCAAAACTGTTTTTTTTTTTTTTTTAGATAAATCGAGGGACTCGACTACAAATGTGAGGTAGTTTTAAGACGGTCATTACTGAAGTCATTCTCCTCGGGGAAAACACAAGATCACAATTGTATCAAAGACACAAGATTGTGCATTTAAAAAGTACACCGCGAGCTATAAATGGGGTCATTTGGGAATTGTTTTGTTTGTTTAAAAGATATATACAGTATATATGTTTAATATATCAAAAATATTCCTTTTTAATGAAAAGATCCAGAACAAAAAAATAGACAGACAAAGAAAGCCCTCAACACAGTTGTAGAAGTGATTCGGAGGAAGCTGTCATGTAGTTAGATTTTTACCAGCAGAGATGAATCCTCCATTAATCATTGTTATCTTTCTTCGGTGCATTTCATGCTCATTCCGTGGTCAAGATTCCCCACGCCAAGCTCTCCTCCCACCACTGGAAAGAATATACAGCGCAATGCAACTGCAAAAATATCGCTGGCAGACACCAGTTGCCTTTAAAGTGGGCGCTGTAAGCAGCTCTTCACATCAAAAGGATAGTTAAATATAGGAAGCCATTTAGTTGCAGGAAAAGAACAAAAGAAAGTTGGGAGACTGAGATGAATGCTTTGCATGCTACTTTGCATAGATGCTCAGCTTCCACAAGAGCACAATGGGTTTCCAAGCAAACTGATGAGGATACTTTTGCCCCCAAAAAGCAAGTTTTGATTGCGGCTCCCTTCCAGCTATCCAAAAACATGTTTGGTCCAAGAACTTTGAAACTGCCCATATGCAAGTATGCGAATGGTCGTCTGTTTCTCTGTATCTGTCTTCTGATTGACAGATGGTCTGTCCAGGGTCCAGTCTACCTCTCAACCAATTTTTTAAGACGCTTACGAAACAAATGACATTTCTCATCAAGGCGATTTCTATGGTCAGAGATGAATGCTTTTGATACGGCCAGTTAGAAGTCTTCGCAGATGTCGAGGCGTAAAGCTGGCATCGCTGATCTTCCCGTATTCATGTAATTTAGGTGCCACCCTAATAGCGTCTATGAGGGCTATTAGCAATTGGGCCTCTCTGGAGCATGATTAACCTAATTTGCAGTGAAATAGGTTGTGCTGCTTCTCTGAGATTCTATCCTCTGGAGATGCCTGCGCGTCTGTAAGCTCCAACGTCATAAATACCCAGTGCACCGCAGTCTGTTGAATCCAGAAGGACCACAACTGGTAGTCCCTTTGAAAAAGCGTACGACGGAAGACCCGTATGCTATTTCCTGTTGGAATCCGCACTGTTGCCAAGCACAAGAGTGGAGGAAAAAAAAACAACTTGTTTACATGGACAGAAATGACAAAGCCGCTCATGGGTGTTGGAACATGAAGTTTTGTACATAAATGCATTTTCAACAACCTCATGAATAAACAATAGCCATCTGAAAGGTGTGCAAAATGGCAAGAGAGGTTCCTCGCTTTTAGAATTGGTGCATCAGAAACAAACTAGCATGGATTCATTTGTGCCCTTCTCTCAAAAGCAGGACATTGCATGGGCCGGAGTGCTCGTTTACGGAGCTGTTGCAACCTCACAGATACAACTCTGTGAGGTTTAAGTTGGTAATATTAACCCACTTCTGACACCAGGTCACAGGCAGAAAAAAATTGCAGTTTGATTTCAACACCCCTTCCCATCCAGGTAGGCGCAGTTGACCAAACTACGGTGAACAGACACATAAACTGTGATGGAACCTTGACCAAAGGATGACTGCAATCTGTTTTGAATCGATACTTTTGTTAAGTTTGAGTTTCTCGTGGTGGAAAAGAACTTTCCATTCTCTACAGTACTTATGCTGCTCAGAGTCATGGGGTGCCGGAGCCTCTCCCAGTCGACGAAAGGCGGACTACACCCTGAATTGGTCGCCAGACAGTCGCAGGGCACATATAGAAACAGATGACCATTCAGGCTCATATTCACACCGTTACTGAGTGATAACTAAATGTTGCCTTTTCACTGACTTAAACCTTGTCAAACATGCCCTCATTCTACCACAATTTAGATTTCAAAATCATAATAGCTCTCTCTGTGATTTGCGTGCCATCGGTTGAGCCTACAGCGTGTCCATTTAAGAGCGGCGGCGTGTGGTGCGGGTGATGCAAACGTGCAGGACATCAGAGAGGGATGGTTTCTACCCAGCAAGCACATATGCAGAGCCTCAGGCGCGGGGCTGTGACAACCTGGCATGTTACTGCATCCATACGCACACGTTCAAATCTCAATGTCCAGGGTCTCACCACGTTGCAAGCGGCCGTCGGCCCGATTACGTTCCTGAGCATCGTTTCAGTTTGGTCTACTTTACACATTGTGTGCGTCCCTCCCTCTGAACATGTCCATATAGCACAGAGGGATGAACCGAACAAAAACAGAGCCCCATCTTGATTCATGTAGTGCACTTTAGTTTTTTTTTTTTTTTTTTCGGATCAATACTGACTCTCCAGTAGATCAGATTTACTATTTGTCATGGACCTTGCCACAAACTGGGCATTTGTCAGGGAGGCACTTTGGACTAAAGTACTTTGTAAATGAGAAAAAGCATCTCTTGCCCGCATTAGTGGTAACTGATGCGGATTGTGACGTCGGATGCAATAAAAACAAAGATTTGACTGTGCTGCTCTGAGGTTATTGGAGCCTTTTATAACTCTTTTTCTTTGCGACCTTGCTTATGTTTTTGCGCACGAGGGTCATTTTCACCGTAGCGAGGACCTTGTGCACAGAATGTCATTAGCAATGGGATGCCAAATTCTTCGCACTCGCACCTGAAACTCTTTGTAATGCAGCAGGCTCATTTTTTATTCTTTTTGGTTTCATTTGTATAGTGCTTGCAAAAAAACACTCAATGGCACTTTACAAAGCAAAAGACAAAAAACAAAAAGAACAGGAAAAATAAGACAATATTAATATTAACTGGAGGGATATCTTTGGTGCGGGAGTGGGTGAGCAGACGGGCAGCAGAATTTTGGATGTATTGAAGTTTGTTGAGGGTTTTGGTGGGTAAACCCTCAAGAGTGCGATTGCAGTAGTCAAGTCATGAGGTGATAAAGGCGTGAATCAGTGTTTCAGCAGATGAGGGGGAGAGAGGGGTGATATGATGTGGATTTTTAATTTGTTGCAATTGGGATTGAGGAAGTTGGTCTGCATCCAGTTTTTTGTCGATAAGGCAATTGATGATGGTAGAATTAATGGCAGCAGTGATGGATTTTGGTGGAGATGTCGAGTTGGGTTTTTTCGGCATAGCAGTGGAACTCGAGACCACGGTGGCATATGATGTGACCAAGGGGAAGCATGGAAGAGAGAAAGAGGAGGGGGCCTAGCACTGAGCCTTGGGGGACTGGGGCTGGGTCAAAGGCGAAGTTCACAAGTGCAGCAAGTCTCCTGTTACACAGCTAGACCAGCAGCTGCTCAGCCTTACCGCTATCTATTTATTTATTTACACTGCATTCACCATTCGTTCCCCGAAGGCCTTCTACGCGGAGGCAATTCAAAGATCTCTGCAAGCAACTATTTGCAGAGCCGACTCTGTAATATATTTCTCCTAAATCCAAGATATCTACTGAGGGGGGCTTAATTTGACACCACTGATCCTGTTTTTCAAAGCAACAAAGCCACTGTTAGAAGGAGGGAAAAGAAATCAAATAATCATGAGAGAAATACATTTTTATAGTCAGAGAACCTGGAAAAAAATAAGTCAATCAGTCAATGTGGAAATTGCAGCGATGGGGTTTGTCCAAAATGTTTCATGGAAATGATTCAGGGCTAATGTACAGGCTAACATGGCTTCCTCTGTTGCCACAAGTAGAAAGCAATTTTGTTCATTTGCAACTTGACATTCTAGCTGACAATTGCAAAGACATTTGTGTGCTTGTATGAGAGTGTGCATTTCTCCATGCTGGGTTTTGTTTTCCCGGATTGCGCAGTCAAAGAGCTTGAGCTCGCTGGCCTCTCCACCTCCAATTTTCAACAACAAAC